AATTTAAAGTCAAACTTTTGTTCTCTCTATAATCAATTTTAATAGGCGTACATTTTAATTTGGGGTTACGACAATCAAGAACCGACATCTGCTATAGTTGAAGAACCTATGGAGGTTGAACGCACATAGGGTTTAGAAAGAATTAATCGTACCTAATGCTTGGGCGCGTCGCCGACATCTCGGCATACCTTGGGCTGAAACTGTAGAAGAAGCCAGGTTCATCCAGCCTTTCGGCACCGGCCACTGCGTTAAGCCTACGCCAACGATTCACCTTTCGTCAGCCTTCTTCCTTCACTCCAACCTATATCTGCGTTTGAAGGGATACAGGAATACAGCAGAAATCTGGCACAAGCGGTTAGGTCATCCCTCGCAAGAAGCACTCAATAACTCCATTAAAGCCTCGGTTTTCAATAAGGACGCACTCCTTTTAACCAACGGCCAAGAGCTTCGACTTAGCAACTCGTCAACTACACTGCACCATCTGCCCTGGAGCTCACCTAAGTCACGCTCCGTTCCCGTCGCACTTTCCAAGTGCTACTAAGTACTCACCTATGGATGTCGTTTTCAGCAACATACTCTTCATTCCGCAGGAAGCATAAGATATCAGCGACAACGATTACCACTATATCATTACCTTCATCGACGGTGCTACTCGATACGTCTGGCACAAGAACATATCTCACAAGTCTGAAACTCTCGACGCCTTCAAACTGTGGCTGAAAATTGCGGAGCAACAGAGCGGCATCAAGCTGAAAGAGATCCAGACAAACAACGCGGGCGAGTATACCAGGGAGCAGTTCGATGAATTCCTGGCGCGGAAAGGGATATTCAGGCGCAAGACTGTGCCTTACGCTCATCAGCAAAATGGAGTAGCTGAAAGAAGTAACAGGACGCTGCAAGAGAAGATGCGCGTACTGCTGCAACAGTCCAGCTTAACATCAGATTTTTGGCCGTTTGCGATGGCGCAAGCTGTCTGCCTATACAACTGGATGTCTTCAACTGCTCTCCCTCAATTCAGTTCGACACATGTCATGTGGACAAAACACCCCACCGACACTCAACTTTTACGAGCTTGGAGCTGCATGGTCCAATACAGACCTCCGAGTGCAACTGTGGGCAGATTTACTGAACGGGCTCGATGGGGAATACACCTTGGTGTACCCAAGGATTCCTACTCCTGGATAATTAAGGATTACGAAACCCGAAAGGTTTTGTATGCTCGAGACTGCATCTTCTACGAGAAAATTTTTCTCGATGACTTCGAATGCGACAAGGAACGCCAATAGCGCGATCTTGATCGCTACAGTGCCGAACGGAGTTTCACCACCCCTCAAGAGGAAGCAGATGCAGCCGAAGAATATTATCCACCCGACAACGCAGCAGCAGGACCTTCTACAGTTCAGCAGCCGTCTACGTCACCAGCTGCACCTGGTCCTTCCTCCCATGACGCAGCACTGCTCGACACGTGCTAGCAGCATAGAGACCCCGCTCTTTATTCCCCTCTCACACCCGTCGCGTCCTCCCACGGCACAGGCTGCCTACAATTATGAGGAGCACATGCGCCAATAGAAAACTGACGCGGCATCACATGACGGTGCCCGCTATCCGCCATCCGAAACGAACGAAGATGATGTCGTCAAAATTTGCCAACCTCATCCTTGTGGTGACCAATCGGCTCTTCGGATTCTTGGTCTTGCTGTTGCAGTTCAGCAACCAACGAATGGGATCGAGCTGAAAACAGTCAAGCAGGCCCTCTTCGGCTCTGATGCTAACAAGTGGTGAACAGCTATGGAAGGTAGCTCATTTCGAGAAGTGGAAAACATGGAAACTCGTTCTACGCGAAGCAGTACGCGGCAAGAAGATCCTCTTGGGCAAGTGGGTCTTTCGCATAAAGACAAACGCAGCAAGCGAACCAGACAGATTCAAGGGGAGATGGGTCGTTCGAGGTTTCGAACAAACCCATGACATCGAATACGACCAGACTTTTGCTCCGTTCAACCCCCATACCTCGGTTCAAATTCTTCTCGCCATTGCTGTCAGCCGCCATCTTCCACTTCTCCAACTGGACGTTAAAAATGCGTTTTTATATGCAGACGTTGATGCTGATATTTTGGGACGTTGATGCTGATATTTTCGTAGAACTCCCTCACACTTACGGCAACGGAGTTCACATGTGCAAATTACTTAAGTCACTTTACGGCATCAAACAGGCTCCTCGCCTGTAGCAGCAACATCTTCACAAGGTCATGATTTCACTCGACTTCGTGCAGCTGCCCCACGATCCTGGAATGTACAAACTCGAATTTCGGGGGAATTACATTCCTCTAGTCTCCTACGTGGATGACTTACTGTACACCGGCTCGTGCAACAGTCTTCTGGCGCGCATGAAGGAAAGAATCCAAGCAATTCTTGAAGTGACTATTTCTCCAACCGTTACCCAATTTCTTGGGTTAAACATCGACTGCGGCCCCGATGCGATCTACCTTTCTAGAAGCAAGTATGCAGAAACACTTGCGAAGAAGTTCGCCATCGCTCTAATCGGCCTCACCACTCCATTTTGTCACATTTCGGCCGATCACTTACCTGATACTACCCTACTTATCGCCTTCGAGCATCAGCTTTACCAGCAGCAGCTCAGGTGTCTTCTTTTTGCAGCTGTTACATGCTGCCCTGATCTTGCCTACATCACGAGTCAGCTCGCACAGTACCTACGTCGACCTGAAGAGGAGAATATGGCTGATCTTCGTCGAGCCCTCCAATATTTCATTTCAACTCCTACAATCGGTCTGCAGCGAATTTTTGAGTGACTGGATACGTTGATGCGGATCACGCTGTTAACCCTGACAACATGGGTTCATATATAGGGTTCATCTTCAAACTAGAACCGGGTGGTGTCATTTCCTAGAATTCAACAAATCAAGAAGTCATCGCACTTTCGTCAGCCGAAGCGGAATTCGTCACAACAATCTCTGCAGTTGGCGGCAGACTCTATCTTCAAGAGTTACTTCAAGAGGCAAAAATCGCAATGACACGTAACTTCAAGTTACTCTGCGAAAACTAGAGCGCAATCAAGATTGCAAACAACCCGGCTTCGTCAAATGGACAAAACACATCGCCCTCCGTTACTTCTTCGTCAAGGACGAAATCGACAAACGAAAGGTCATAATGAAATACTGCACTACAAAAGAAGTGGCATCTGATTTCCTGACGAAGAAATGCCAACGCAGCAAGTTTCATTACTACTCCAATCTGGTTGGAATCTACAAAGACGGCGACACTTACCCAGAAACATACACTCAGGAATGAAGGGGAGTGTTGAAGTATGCTCGATAGAGTTTATTTGTACATTCATAATATTATAGTTAGACTGTACTGTATAGAGCAATACCTTATATGGAAGGACACGCATGATGATGTCTGCAGTAACGAATACACGCATGAACAGTACGTTCGCGCGGATAGTCACCCGAAGGGCCGCGTCACTGTCAGTCACAAGAACAGTCAGTAGTCATGTCACGCGAACAGTCGCAATACACTACGAACAGATACATTATGAATAGGTACTTCCTAGCCTATAAATATGTATGTATTACTCGTTATGATTAATTATTGTCATTTTGTACATTTCCAATACAATGTATAAAGTCTTCCACTGGCTTTTTCTTGTGGTTCCATATACTCCAGATCCTGGCCACCCTAAATACGTGGTTCATTTCTACATATGCATTTTACAAATGTTGACACCAGGAAATTGCTGAGATATTTGTGCGAGTAACCATCTTCGCCCTCGTCATATCCCATTTGCCCATGTCAAAGGCATCCGAAATGAGTGCTCACATTACTCGCACGCGGTTCGCTCAATTCTTGGGCGTACGGTGAACACCCGGTGTATTGTGGCCCGCCATTAGAAGGACGAATTCTGGAACTCGCATGCGGCCGAAACACATCTTTCGTTACTGTACAGTAGAAGGATCCTGTTATGAAATATAACCATAATGGTAATATTCAAAAAGGGGAACGTGACTAATCAATGACGATACAAATGAGGGCTAGGAAATATATAGTGTGTGGACTGACTAGGGTTCAACCTCGAGAATGGGTCAGTCAGGACGCGAGGTTCCCGAGGGCGACGGGGGTGAAGTGGGTTCGCAGCGCCTCGAAATCAGGTTTGGGGCCGAGTAGTTCGGAAGGGGCTGGTCTAGCGCGAGAACCGAGGTCCAAGGCTGCAGACGCGAGGGGTTCGCGTGTACTCGTTGAAGCGAGCCCCAGTAGGGAACCTTAATTCCTTTCAGGGTGAAGCCGTGTAGAGGCGACGTTACATTGCAAGACACATTCACAGCCACATGCAATCCGTGAATGTGTGGTCCGAATAGAATTTGACGTGGTCCGAATTTGATGTCATCCGAATTTGACACGGTCCGAAGCACACAAGCTGTGGCAGCGATATCAGGCATCTCAGACGACCCACACCTCCTCGGAGAACATCACCACACCTGCTGCTGTGCTACAGTGCAATAACAAGATCAGGGCGTGGTACATCTTGTTCGGCTCACCTGATTGTTTCGGGTTACTTAAAACGTTAACGTCGCAAAAGCCTTTCGCTAACATGCCGTCGCGAACGGGTGACAGATTTCATAACCCGCACTCACGAACAATCTACGCTCTTGGAAAAATCCATATGGCATTCGCGACACAGACGAAAGGAGACTGCATAAGTGACGAAAGCGTCATTTCGCATGGGGCAGGAAGTGGGGTTTTTTCCCGCTGCCCAAATTGGTGTCGCGAGGTTGGGGTCAACAGTAACATATGCATGCAAAATCGAACACGCGAATGTGAACCCTTCACGAAACTTGCGAAAGCTGAGCTCATTCTCGAAGTTTGAGTTTTCCAAAATCTGAAAATGTATCACGCCCTAAGTGACCCGCAGTGCCACCCATGCATAATGCAGCAATGTGTAATGGGGCACCTCGCCACCGCGTGCAATTACAGTACCCAGCGTTCCACTTAGCTCTTCCTCAAGCCACATCAGTCAAGCTAAAGCTGTACACCACCCTTCGCTCCAGCTGAGCTCCTATACTTCAATCGCGGTCGTGTGATGCGTATTTATGCAGAAACCTCGTCTTATGCCATTCTGCTCGTAGTCGCAGCGATTGCGTCCGCAGTGTCGACCACTTCGGCAAGTGTGGATCATCCATGATGATCATGCCTACCACCGCACCTAAATCTTGCTCTCCTGCCACTGGAACGCGCGCTGCACCGCCTAATCCGTTGCCCTCACTCTCTGCTAGTAATGCCGCACCTCGCCTTCTCCTCTTGGCGGCCCTCGCGCTCAGCGCCGCCGCTGACTGCTCCTTTTCCACCGTCTCCCGCCCGGCGCCACTGCCGCGGAGCCCACATGCCGCGCGGCCGGCCAAGCAGCACCTGCTGTCTCCCTTCGCTTGGCCCGGCCGCGCCCAACGCTCGCTCTTGAGGCTCGACGCCGCCACCCCTGCGGCGACGGCGGCTCGCTCTGGGGCGGCGACTGGCGCCGCGAGGCCCGTCATCATGGACGAGTCGCAATGTGAGTCACCGGCGTGTTGGTGGGGCACTGGGATCGTCCTAGTTGAGTGTGGGAGGGCTACAGGTCCGTCCTGGGGGGTAATGGGTGCGCTACCCACCACAAAAAACATGCCCTTTTAACCCAGTCGGTAGCGGGCTGGGCCAACAGTGGTATCAGAGCCTGGAAGGTCCAGGGTTCGAATCCCAGTGTGCGCAGAGGAGGCGCCGGGTGCCCTGACGACCCCAGTGAGGGGGAGATTGTTGGTGGGGCACTGGGATCGTCCTAGTTGAGTGTGGGAGGGCTACAGGTCCGTCCTGGGGGGTAATGGGTGCGCTACCCACCACAAAAAACATGCCCTTTTAACCCAGTCGGTAGCGGGCTGGGCCAACACGGCGACTGTCGTTCAGGCCGGCGAGGCTCCAGCAAACGTCCTTGCGACATGTTTGCGAAACGCACGGGGGAGCTCCAGACTCGTGGGACTCGAGTTGGCGGCCCATCAATGGGATGCCGCGGACACGTGCACGCGCCGCCGCGTGAGACGCGTTACTAGCTGCATGCCCTCCTATCGCTGTGAAGTGATCGCACTGATGCAGGATGCATGGTGCGTGCAGCATTCTAACACCCATTACCCTATTCCCCGCCCCATCACCGGGCCATGATCTTTCCTGATGACCCCCATTCTGCCGGCGGCAGTGAGCGCGCTGGTGCAGCTGAACGAGGCGTGGGGCACGTGGGCGGGCAACAGCAACGCCGCCACTGCGTGCGCGGCATGGGCTGGCGTCACATGCAGCCCTAAAGGGCTGGTCCTTGCCCTGTGAGCCCCTTTTCCCTCATTGCTCCTCACCTGCCCCTCATCTGCTCCTCATCACTCCGCATCGCCAGTCATCCGAAATCAAAATGACACCGTTTTGTGTCATCGCCCCTCCCCTCGTCGCCCCCTATCGCCCCTCATCGCCCCTCCCCTCGTCGCCCCCCATCGCCCCCCATCGCCCCTCATCGCCCCTCCCCTCGTCGCCCCTCATCGCCCCTCATCGCCCCTCATCTCCACTCATCGCCCCTCATCGCCCCCTATCGCCCCCCATCGCCCCTCATCGCCTCTCCCCTCGTCGCCCCCCATCGTCCCCCATCGCCCCTCATCAGCCCTCCCCTCGTCGCCCCTCATCGCCCCTCATCGCCCTTATCGCCCCTCATCGCCCCTCATTGCCGTCACCGTTTGCCACTGAGCCACTATTCCATTGGATGCACCACGTGCCCCCACCCCTCCAAAACCCTGAACCCCGTGTGCAACCACCCGCGTTATGTCCAAATTGGCTGGACTTTGTGCGCGTGACGGGTGGGATGGAGCGGGGGGGGAAGAGGGGGGAGGACTGAGTAGGACGTGGAGGAATGGGGCTCTGCGAGCGCGGAGGGGGGTGGGAGGAAAAGTGGAGGAGGTGGGGTGGTGGGAAAGGGGGGAGGGTGGATGCTGGGACAGGGGAGTGGGGTGGGAGATGGGGGATGGCTGGGAGCGCTGGTGCGGCGTGCATGCATGCGCGTGTTGGCAGGGATGCTAAAGCCTTTGTGGCGGATCCTCCTCCCAGCGGCGCCATACCGGCTGACATCACCAACCTCGCCTATCTCCAGTACCTGTATGTCTCCACCCACCCGCTCCCTCCAGCACCTGCACTTTGTGTGCACTATGTCTTGTCTTCCCTTGTTCCCCATGCTCCACTCGACCTTGGTCCCCCGTTGCTTGCGCTCACCCTCATGCTTCGTGCCCATGCCCTGCCTCCCCTGCTTCCCTTCCCTTCCCCATGCTTCCTCCTTCCATCTCGTCCCTCACTCCCTCCCTCCACACGCCACACCTGACTGTCACCTCTCTCTGCCCTTCCATCCTTCCCCTCTGCACCAGCCTCAGCAGCAAGGATGATTCAGACCATGGCCTTGGTCTTGAGGGAACCATTCAATTCATCTTGCCGCTGACTTCTCCACTTCTTCCTGCCTTCCCTGCCTTCCCATCCTCCCCACAGGGATCTGTCCTACATTGATCTGGTGGGCTCCATTCCATCCCTCGCCAGTCTCACCAGCCTCACCCACCTGTACATGCCCTCTCCCATGGAACGAGACCCGTGCTGCTTACTGCCGGACCAGGCCCATCCATCATGGGCCCATCCATCATGGGCCCATTCATCATCATACAACGTTCTCCTTCCTCCTCTACATGTTAAGGTGGTTTGCTCGCTCCCAGAATCTCGATCCGTGGTCGATCGAGCTAGCTCTCTGCTCCCTCAAGCTTTCTCCTTCCATCGGCTCTCTGCTGTCCATCATTCCCTTCCACGTTTTCACTGCCTGTGTGCTACTTTCCTTTCTCTTACGTCACGATAGTCACCTTTCCCCCCGGCATCTGTCCCTTTCGCCCATCAACTGTGCCCCCATTGTTTTCATGCCCATTGCCCCCTGCATGTGCGCCCATTGCCCCTGCATGTGCGCCCATTGCCCCCTGCATGCGCGCCCATTGCCCTTTGCATGCGCGCCCATTGCTCGTTGTGTGCTCCGTGTGTCCTCAGAGCCATTGGAATGGACGGCTGCAGGCTGGCTGGCACTCTGGACGGACTGGGTTGGCTCTCCTCCCTCTCCAACCTGCAAACACTGTACGCCCTGCAAACTCTGTACGCCCTGCAAGCTCTGTACGGCCTGCAAACTCTGTACGCCCTGCAAACACTGTACGCCCTGCAAACTCTGTACGCCCTGCAAGCTCTGTACGCCCTGCAAACTCTGTACGCCCTGCAAGCTCTGCACGCCTTGCAAACTCTCTACGCCCTGCAAACACAGCCACTCTGCTTGCTGTTGGCATCCGCACCCCCACTTGGTCACTTGACCACGCTGCCCTCACATTCACTGCTGCACGTCACATCACATCGCTCCAGAAACCATTGCAGAAACCCCATTATCCCACCCTCCACCCCTTAGCTTAGGCTTGAGCAACGGGTCGGGTCGGGTCGGGTAACCTGACCCGAACCCGACTTTTTGACGGGTCGGGTTGACATTTGCGGAGGGTCGACCCGACCCGACCCGACCTGACCCGACCCGACCGACAAAACCCGACCCGTCGGGTCAGCTTATTACCCGTCCCTGCCCCTATGTTAACCCGACCCGACCCGACCCGAAATCGGGTCAGGTAGTACCCGACCTACTAAACCCGGGTCGGGTTGGCATTTCCTGAACTCCGACCCGACTTGACCCGACCCGACCCGACCCGACCCCGACATCGGGTAGGGCAGAGTCGGGTCGGGTTGGGTCGGGTCGGGTTCATACTCAAGCCTGCCTTAGCTTCATGCATGTCTCACTGCACCCCCACCACACCACCAGGCGTCTAGTTGGCTTGGCGGATTTCACAGGGGACTTGTCCTCCCTGCACATTCTTTCTCACCTGGAAAGCATTCAACACCTGTAAGTGTCATTTCAATGCATAAGGAGACGCTACTGCCATGCCATCATGTTTCTACTCTCATTTCTCCTCTGGTTGTGTGCATTCACTCTTGCTGCTTGTGTGTGCATGAGACCAGGGCACTCAGTTCGCTCACCAATGCCACGGGGGAAATACCCAGGGAGATACGGTACTTGACTGCCCTCACTGCACTGTAAGCTGCTCAGTCCGGCATGCATAGGGCAGGTAAAGCAAGCCTGTTCATGTGCACCATGAGAATTTCTCTCCCCCATCACCCAACAGAACAGCCTTCTGCCATTCGCCTCTCCATGTGCCGCCTTCTTGCCTCCCCCCCTGCAGGGACCTATCGTACCTTCGTGCCGTGGACTTTCCCGATTGGGTCACTCAGCTCCCCAACCTCCAGTCCCTGTGAGCTTCTCCCACCCACTTACGCCTCTATTCTCAGTGTTTGCCACAGCCAAGTGCCTCATTCCCTTGCTGCTGCACAGCACAAGTCACGGGGGCAACTCATTCATGCCATGGCGTTGATCTTGTCCACTCTCAGTTTGGAGAGTGAGAATCTCGCTTTGCCTGCCCTTGTGCGCAGTAACGTGAACGCCGACGATGAAAGGCGGCAGGGCCTGCTGTCCGATGACTTCTCACTGCTCACCGCGCTGACCAGCCTGTGAGTGTGGTGAGCATGGGAGCGTGGTGAGCAGGGGAGTGTGGTGAGCAGGGGAGTGTGGTGAGCACGGGAGTGTGGTGAGCACGGGAGTGTGATGAGCACGGGAGTGTGGTGAGCACGGGAGTGTGGTGAGCACGGGAGTGTGGTGAGCATGGGAGCGTGGTGAGCACGGGAGCGTGGTGAGCACGGGAGTGTGGTGAGCATGGGATTGTGGTGAGCACGGGAGTGTGGTGAGCATGGGAGTGTGGTGAGCATGGGAGTGCAGTGAGCATGGGAGTGCGGACATTATGAGGGTGCGTAAGCTCCATTTTTGAGTTTTGTCAAAGTCACTTGCAAGTCCCTTCAACCTGACGAGGGCTGGTCTGACCATATGGACGGCTGCTCCGTGTTTTGTGATCAAGCAGGGAAAGCAGGGCAATCAGGGCAATCAGGGCAATCAGGGCAATCAGGGCAAGCAGATCATGCAGGGCAAGCAGGACAAGCGCATCTCCTCCCAGTTCTGCCGAGGCCTCCCACAAACCTCTGCTGTCTAAAACGTCGTCATCTGCCCATCTGTTGCATTGCAGATCTCTGGGTCACAACAATCTAGACGGCTACCTGCCCAAGAGCTGGTCGTCTCTGGTCAACCTGCAAGAGCTGTGAGGCACTGACTACTGTGCCATGCTGCCATGCTGCTATTCTGCCATGCTGCCATCAGCAATCTAAAAACCTCAATGCTGCTCCACCATTTTGAAGCCTATCTTGTCAATCCCAACACATACCTGCATGTCTAATTTTGAAAGGCTTTTTTGTTTTTGTTTCTTTTTCCAGAGATCTAACATACAACCGTCTCCAAGGCACCATTCCAGCAACATTCTCTACCCTAACAGCCCTCACTAAATTGTACGTTTCCAGCATCTCCCACTTCCCCCCACCTGATCCCACTCTGTCCCTGTCTCGTATCCCATCCCGTTCTCGTTCTCTTCTTCACTCAGCCCCCCCATCATCCCATGTCATGATGGTTTGTCCCCCTCTCCTGCAGAGTCCTTTCCGAGAATTCCCTTTCCGGTTCGATACCTCCGGCCTTCTCCACCAACATCCAGATTCTGTGCGTCCCTCTCCTCTCTCTGCCTCCCGCCTCAACTCCCAAACAGCAAACCCAGGTTCCTCTTTTTTCTGGCTCATTCCCCCCTCCTCCCCCCCCCCCCCCCCCCTCTTCTCCCCATACCCCTCCGCCCCTCCAGCTTGCTCCCCCTTTTCCATCACCACACCTCTAATTCCCCACACGCCTTTCTTCAAGACTGCGCGCGTGGCTTTTGGACGTGTGAGGTGTTTATGAGCCGCTGCCTCACATGTCCTGCCTGCCTGTCCAGATGGCTTGGCTACAATTCCTTTAGTGGGCCCATCCCGCCACACCTCGCACTGACCAACCTCGTTGAACTGTAAGCCCCAGCCCTTTTCCCGCGTACCATGCTCTCATCTCCGCACCTCCCTCTCCCATTCCTGTGGCTACTGAGCCTCCCCTCCGAACCTCTTTTTTTTCCTGACTCCATCCCGACACCTCCCAATCTCCACTCCCTTGCTGCTCCTTCTCGTTGCTCAGTGCACTTCTCCCTGTTGGGCTGCCCTGCGTGCAGGCAACTGTCCAGCAATCTGTTCACAGGAGGCATTCCTAGCGCTTTCACCAAGCTCACTGCCATGAGTACTCTGTATGCCTCTCCTCTCGCTGCACTCGAGCCCCTATCATCCCTCTGCTGCCATCCGGCCCTTCTGCACTGAATTGCTGCCAAAAGGCATGATGTCCGCCATTAGGAATGACCACAGCACATGATTCTTTCCACATCCCAACCACGCACTGCTTGTTCGTTGCCTCACCATATTCGTTGCTTGTTCATCCCAGCTTCCTTTTACCTCACTGCCTTTGACGTGCATGTGTCCGCACCAATTGACAGGGACATTTGCAATAACAGCCTCAGCTCAGACTTGGATGTGGTGGCTCAGATGACGTGGCTCACAGACATGTGAGTGGCTCAGGTGACATGGCTCACAGACATGTGAGTGGCTCAGGTGACATGGCTCACAGACATGTGAGTGGCTCAGGTGACATGGCTCACAGACATGTGAGTGGCTCAGGTGACATGGCTCACAGACATGTGAGTGGCAGTGGCTCAGGTGACATGGCTCACAGACATGTGAGTGGCTCAGATGACGTGGCTCACAGACATGTGAGTGGCTCAGGTGACATGGCTCACAGACCTGTGAGTGGCAGTGGCTCAGGTGACATGGCTCACAGACATGTGAGTGGCTCAGGTGACAGACATGGCTCACAGACATGTGAATGGCTCAGATGACGTGGCTCACAGACATGTGAGTGGCTCAGGTGACATGGCTCACAGACATGTGAGTGGCTCAGGTGACATGGCTCACAGACATGTGAGAGGCTCAGGTGACATGGCTCACAGACATGTGAGTGGCTCAGGTGACATGGATCACAGACATGTGAGTGGCAGTGGCTCAGGTGACATGGCTCACAGACATGTGAGTGGCTCAGGTGACAGACATGGCTCACAGACATGTGAATGGCTCAGGTGACATGGATCACAGACATGTGAGTGGCAGTGGCTCAGGTGACATGGCTCACAGACATGTGAGTGGCTCAGGTGACATGGCTCACAGACATGTGAGTGGCTCAGGTGACATGGATCACAGAAATGTGAGTGGCTGTGGCTCAGGTGACATGGCTCACAGACATGTGAGTGGCTCAGGTGACAGACATGGCTCACAGACATGTGAATGGCTCAGATGACGTGGCTCACTGACATGTGAGTGGCTCTGGTGACATGGCTCACAGACATGTGAGTGGCTCAGGTGACATGGCTCACAGACATGTGAGTGGCTCAGGTGACATGGCTCACAGACATGTGAGAGGCTCAGGTGACATGGCTCACAGACATGTGAGTGGCTCAGGTGACATGGATCACAGACATGTGAGTGGCAGTGGCTCGGGTGACATGGCTCACAGACATGTGAGTGGCTCAGGTGACAGACATGGCTCACAGACATGTGAATGGCTCAGGTGACATGGCTCACAGACATGTGAATGGCTCAGATGACGTGGCTCACAGACATGTGAGTGGCTCAGGTGACATGGCTCACAGACATGTGAGTGGCTCAGGTGACATGGCTCACAGACATGTGAGTGGCTCAGGTGACATGGATCACAGACATGTGAGTGGCAGTGGCTCAGGTGACATGGCTCACAGACATGTGAGTGCCTCAGGTGACATGGCTCACAGACATGTGAGTGGCTCAGGTGACATGGCTCACAGACATGTGAGTGGCTCAGGTGACATGGCTCACAGACATGTGAGTGGCTCAGGTGACATGGCTCACAGACATGTGAGTGGCTCAGATGACGTGGCTCACAGACATGTGAGTGGCTCAGGTGACATGGATCACAGACATGTGAGTGGCAGTGGCTCAGGTGACATGGCTCACAGACATGTGAGTGGCTCAGGTGACAGACATGGCTCACAGACATGTGAATGGCTCAGATGACGTGGCTCACCGACATGTGAGTGGCTCTGGTGACATGGCTCACAGACATGTGAGTGGCTCAGGTGACGTGGATCACAGACATGTGAGTGGCAGTGGCTCAGGTGACATGGCTCACAGACATGTGAGTGGCTCAGGTGACAGACATGGCTCACAGACATGTGAATGGCTCATGTGACATGGCTCACAGATATGTGAGTGGCTCAGGTGACATGCCTCACAGACATGTGAGTGCCTCAGGTGACATGGCTCACAGACATGTGATTGGCTCAGGTGACGTGGCTCACAGACATGTGAGTGGCTCAGGTGACATGGATCACAGACATGTGAGTGGCAGTGGCTCAGGTGACATGGCTCACAGACATGTGAGTGGCTCAGGTGACAGACATGGCTCACAGACATGTGAATGGCTCAGGTGACATGGGTCACAGACATGTGAGTGGCAGTGGCTCAGGTGACATGGCTCACAGACATGTGAGTGGCTCAGGTGACATGGCTCACAGACATGTGAGTGGCTCAGGTGACATGGATCACAGACATGTGAGTGGCAGATGCTCAGGTGACATGGCTCACCGACATGTGAGTGGCTCAGGTGACAGACATGGCTCACGGACATGTGAATGGCTCAGGTGACATGGCTCACAGATATGTGAGTGGCTCAGGTGACATGGCTCACAGACATGTGAGTGCCTCAGGTGACATGGCTCACAGACATGTGATTGGCTCAGATGACGTGGCTCACAGACATGTGAGTGGCTCAGGTGACATGGATCACAGACATGTGAGTGGCAGTGGCTCAGGTGACATGGCTCACAGACATGTGAGTGGCTCAGGTGACATGAATCACAGACATGTGAGTGGCAGTGGCTCAGGTGACATGGCTCACAGACATGTGAGTGTCTCAGGTGACATGGCTCACAGACATGTGAGTGGCTCAGGTGACATGGATCACAGACATGTGAGTGGCAGTGGCTCAGGTGACATGGCTCACAGACATGTGAGTGGCTCAGGTGACAGACATGGCTCACAGACATGTGAATGGCTCAGATGACGTGGCTCACAGACATGTGAATGGCTCAGATGACGTGGCTCACAGACATGTGAGTGGCTCAGGTGACATGGCTCACAGACATGTGAGTGGCTCAGGTGACATGGCTCACAGACATGTGAGTGGCTCAGGTGACATGGCTCACAGACATGTGAGTGGCTCAGGTGACATGGCTCACAGACATGTGAGTGGCTCAGGTGACATGGCTCACAGACATGTGAGTGGCTCAGGATGACATGGCTCACAGACATGTGAGTGGCTCAGGTGACATGGATCACAGACATGTGAGTGGCAGTGGCTCAGGTGACATGGCTCACAGACATGTGAGTGGCTCAGGTGACAGACATGGCTCACAGACATGTGAATGGCTCAGATGACGTGGCTCACCGACATGTGAGTGGCTCTGGTGACATGGCTCACAGACATGTGAGTGGCTCACGTGACATGGATCACAGACATGTGAGTGGCAGTGGCTCAGGTGACATGGCTCACAGACATGTGAGCGGCTCAGGTGACAGACATGGCTCACAGACATGTGAATGGCTCAGATGACGTGGCTCACCGACATGTGAGTGGCTCTGGTGACATGGCTCACAGACATGTGAGTGGCTCAGGTGACGTGGATCACAGACATGTGAGTGGCAGTGGCTCAGGTGACATGGCTCACAGACATGTGAGTGGCTCAGGTGACAGACATGGCTCACAGACATGTGAATGGCTCATGTGACATGGCTCACAGACATGTGAGTGGCTCAGGTGACATGCCTCACAGACATGTGAGTGGCTCAGGTGACATGGCTCACAGACATGTGAGTGGCTCAGGTGACGTGGCTCACAGACATGTGAGTGGCAGTGGCGACATGGATCACAGACATGTGAGTGGCAGTGGCTCAGGTGACATGGCTCACAGACATGTGAGTGGCTCAGGTGACAGACATGGCTCACAGACATGTGAATGGCTCAGGTGACATGGGTCACAGACATGTGAGTGGCAGTGGCTCAGGTGACATGGCTCACAGACATGTGAGTGGCAGTGGCTCAGGTAACATGGCTCACAGACATGTGAGTGGCTCAGGTGACATGGATCACAGACATGTGAGTGGCAGATGCTCAGGTGACATGGCTCACCAGACATGTGAGTGGCTCAGGTGACAGACATGGCTCACAGACATGTGAATGGCTCAGGTGACATGGCTCACAGACATGTGAGTGGCTCAGGTGACATGGCTCACAGACATGTGAGTGGCTCAGGTGACATGGATCACAGACATGTGAGTGGCAGTGGCTCAGGTGACATGGCTCACAGACATGTGAGTGGCTCAGGTGACATGCATCACAGACATGTGAGTGGCAGTGGCTCAGGTGACATGGCTCACAGACATGTGAGTGGCTCAGGTGACATGGCTCACAGACATGTGAGTGGCTCAGTTGACATGGATCACAGACATGTGAGTGGCAGTGGCTCAGGTGACATGGCTCACAGACATGTGAGTGGCTCAGGTGACAGACATGGCTCACAGACATGTGAATGGCTCAGGTGACAAAGATGGCTCACAGACATGTGAATGGCTCAGATGACGTGGCTCACCGACATGTGAGTGGCACTGGTGACATGGCTCACAGACATGTGAGTGGCTCAGGTGACATGGATCACAGACATGTGAGTGGCTGTGGCTCAGGTGACATGGCTCACAGACATGTGAGTGGCTCAGGTGACAGACATGGCTCACAGACATGTGAATGGCTCAGGTGACATGGCTCACAGACATGTCAGTGGCTCAGGTGACATGGCTCACAGACATGTGAGTGGCTCAGGTGACATGGATCACAGACATGTGAGTGGCAGTGGCTCAGGTGACATGGCTCACAGACATGTGAGTGGCTCAGGTGACATGGCTCACAGACATGTGAGTGGCTCAGGTGACATGGATCACAGACATGTGAGTGGCTGTTGCTCAGGTGACATGGCTCACAGACATGTGAGTGGCTCAGGTGACAGACATGGCTCACAGACATGTGAATGGCTCAGATGACGTGGCTCACTGACATGTGAGTGGTTCTGGTGACATGGCTCACAGACATGTGAGTGGCTCAGGTGACATGGATCATAGACATGTGAGTGGCAGTGGCTCAGGTGGACATGGCTCACAGACATGTGAGTGGCTCAGGTGACATGGCTCACAGACATGTGAGTGGCTCAGGTGACATGGCTCACAGACATGTGAGTGGCTCAGGTGACATGGCTCACAGACATGTGAGTGGCTCAGGTGACATGGCTCACAGACATGTGAGTGGCAGTGGCTCAGGTGACATGGCTCACAGACATGTGAGTGGCTCAGGTGACGTGGCTCACAGACATGTGAGTGGCTCAGGTGACATGGCTCACAGACATGTGAGTGGCAGTGGCTCAGGTGACATGGCTCACAGACATGTGAGTGGCTCAGGTGACACATGGCTCACAGACATGTGATGGCTCAGGTGACGTGGCTCACAGACATGTGAGTGGCTCAGGTGACATGGCTCACAGACATGTGAGTGGCTCAGGTGACATGGCTCACAGACATGTGAGAGGCTCAGGTGACATGGCTCACAGACATGTGAGTGGCTCAGGTGACATGGCTCACAGACATGTGAGTGGCAGTGGCTCAGTGACATGGCTCACAGACATGTGAGTGGCTCAGGTGACATGGCTCACAGACATGTGGTGGCTCAGGTGACATGGATCACAGACATGTGAGTGGCAGTGGCTCAGGTGACATGGCTCACAGACATGTGAAGTGGCTCAGGTGACATGGCTCACAGACATGTGAGTGGCTCAGGTGACAGACATGGCTCACAGACATGTGAATGGCTCAGGTGACATGGCTCACAGACATGTGAGTGGCTCAGGTGACATGGCTCACAGACATGTGAGTGGCTCAGGTGACATGGCTCACAGACATGTGAGTGGCTCAGGTGACATGGCTCACAGACATGTGAGTGGCTCAGGTGACATGGCTCACAGACATGTGAGTGGCTCAGGTGACATGGCTCACAGACATGTGAGTGGCTGGCTCAGGTGACATGGCTCACAGACATGTGAGTGGCTCAGGTGACATGGCTCACAGACATGTGAGTGGCTCAGGTGACATGGCTCACAGACATGTGAGTGGCAGTGCTCAGGTGACTGGCTCACAGACATGTGAGTGGCTCAGGTGACATGGCTCACAGACATGTGAATGGCTCAGGTGAACGTGGCTCACAGACATGTGAGTGGCTCAGGTGACATGGCTCACAGACATGTGAGTGGCTCAGGTGACATGGCTCACAGACATGTGAGTGGCTCAGGTGACATGGCTCACAGACATGTGAGTGGCTCAGGTGACATGGCTCACAGACATGTGAGTGGCAGTGGCTCAGGTGACATGGCTCACAGACATGTGTGGCTCAGGTGACATGGCTCACAGACATGTGAGTGGCTCAGGTGACATGGATCACAGACATGTGAGTGGCAGTGGCTCAGGTGACATGGCTCACAGACATGTGAGTGGCTCAGGTGACATGGCTCACAGACATGTGAGTGGCTCAGGTGACATGGATCACAGACAGTGAGTGGCTGTGGCTCAGGTGACATGGCTCACAGACATGTGAGTGGCTCAGGTGACAGACTGGCTCACAGACATGTGAATGGCTCAGATGACGTGGCTCACAGACATGTGAGTGGCTCAGGTGACATGGCTCACAGACATGTGAGTGGCTCAGGTGACATGGCTCACAGACATGTGAGTGGCTCAGGTGACATGGCTCACAGACATGTGAGTGGCTCAGGTGACATGGCTCACAGACATGTGAGTGGCTCAGGTGACATGGATCACAGACATGTGAGTGGCAGTGGCTCGGTGACATGGCTCACAGACATGTGAGTGGCTCAGGTGACATGGCTCACAGACATGTGAATGGCTCAGGTGACATGGCTCACAGACATGTGAATGGCTCAGGTGACGTGGCTCACAGACATGTGAGTGGCTCAGCATGCACAGGTGACATGGCTCACAGACATGTGAGTGGCTCAGGTGACATGGCTCACAGACATGTGAGTGGCTAGGTGACATGGACAGACATGTGAGTGGCAGTGGCTCAGGTGACATGGCTCACAGACATGTGAAGTGGCTCAGGTGACATGGCTCACAGACATGTGAGTGGCTCAGGTGACATGGCTCACAGACATGTGAGTGGCTCAGGTGACATGGCTCACAGACATGTGAGTGGCTCAGGTGACATGGCTCACAGACATGTGAGTGGCTCAGGTGACATGGCTCACAGACATGTGAGTGGCTCAGGTGACATGGATCACAGACATGTGAGTGGCAGTGGCTCAGGTGACATGGCTCACAGACATGTGAGTGGCTCAGGTGACAGACATGGCTCACAGACATGTGAATGGCTCAGATGACGTGGCTCACAGACATGTGAGTGGCTCAGGTGACATGGCTCACAGACATGTGAGTGGCTCAGGTGACATGGATCACAGACATGTGAGTGGCAGTGGCTCAGGTGACATGGCTCACAGACATGTGAGTGGCTCAGGTGACAGACAGGCTCACAGACATGTGAATGGCTCAGTGACATGGCTCACAGACATGTGAGTGCTCAGTGACATGGCTCACAGACATGTGAGTGGCTCAGGTGACATGGATCACAGACATGTGAGTGGCAGTGGCTCAGGTGACATGGCTCACAGACATGTGAGTGGCTCAGGTGACATGGCTCACAGACATGTGAATGGCTCAGGTGACATGGCTCACAGACATGTGAGTGGCTCAGGTGACATGGCTCACAGACATGTGAGTGGCTCAGGTGACATGGCTCACAGACATGTGAGTGGCTGGTGACATGGCTCACAGACATGTGAGTGGCTCAGGTGACATGGCTCACAGACATGTGAGTGAGTGGCTCAGGTGACATGGCTCACAGACATGTGAGTGGCTCAGGTGACATGGCTCACAGACATGTGAGTGGCTCAGGTGACATGGCTCACAGACATGTGAGTGGCATGGCTCAGGTGACATGGCTCACAGACATGTGAGTGGCTCAGGTGACATGGCTCACAGACATGTGAGTGGCTCAGGTGACATGGATCACAGACATGTGAGTGGCAGTGTCAGGTGACATGGCTCACAGACATGTGAGTGGCTCAGGTGACAGACATGGCTCACAGACATGTGAATGGCTCAGATGACGTGGCTCACAGACATGTGAGTGGCTCAGGTGACATGGCTCACAGACATGTGAGTGGCTCAGTGACATGGATCACAGACATGTGAGTGGCAGTGGCTCAGGTGACATGGCTCACAGACATGTGAGTGGCTCAGGTGACAGACATGGCTCACAGACATGTGAATGGCTCAGGTGACATGGCTCACAGACATGTGAGTGGCTCAGGTGACATGGCTCACAGACATGTGAGTGGCTCAGGTGACATGGCTCACAGACATGTGAGTGCAGTGGCTCAGGTGACATGGTCACAGACATGTGAGTGGCTCAGGTGACATGGCTCACAGACATGTGAGTGGCTCAGGTGACATGGCTCACAGACATGTGAGTGGCTCAGGTGACATGGCTCACAGACATGTGAGTGGCTCAGGTGACATGGCTCAC